GCAATTACTCAACTAAAGAGCAAAGACATATTTTGTAAATTTTGGGTCGCTAAAATGCATAAAGAAAAAAACATTAAAAAAATTGGGTCGCAAATCCAAGCTTGTTTTGCCTGGACTCAGGACAGACGGTATATATAATGAATGTTACCTAAATGTTAAAGTGTGCATTGTGTGAAACGTATAAGAGTTAATGATTTGTCCTGGTTATGTTGGTAACCGGAGTGAACGTCACCGTTCTCAATGAGTATTCTGTTTCTGTACTCATCCATCCTTCATTGCAACGGCCGCCTCCGGTAAAGAAATTTTTCCTATTTGGTACAATTTGGGTAGTAATATTTGGTACAACTGTTGTATCATGGTACAACTATGGCATTACTTGGTACAATTGTAAAGATTGGAGTACAACTAGATATTATTTGGTACAACTAAAGACATGGTACAATTAGTTTTTTTGGTACAACTAAAAAAAAATAATACATGGTACAATTGAAGTTTCTCAGACATTGATTTAGTCAACATGAGCTTCCGAGACATTAACTTTTTGACATACATGCCTAAAGTACTCTACCAATAGATTACAAACACTTTTCTGTCAAAAATTAGGTTGATTCTATATATATTTTTTCGAGGGCCGCAAGCCCATACTTGACTCGCTTGGGCCCAGAGCCGCCACTGTCAACGGCTAGACCCGAGCTCCGAAAAAATTATAGATTAAAGATCCGGAACTCTCACAATTTATTAAAAAAAAAAAGATTATGGGAATTGTATGGACTACTGAAGGGTGTTGGATAATTGGATTGCAGATTTGAATTTAAACCATCCACTACATTTCCTTTAAATTTCAAAATATCAATAAATTTATTAACAATTTTATTTTGAATTTGTGGTTTGAGGTAGGGTTCACTAGATAAGATGTTTTAGAAGTCTTTCTTAGGTTCAGTTTAGTCTGATTTTATTTCAAGTTTATATACAAAATTTAATTTAATTTAATTTAAATGTTTTGTGACTATTTATATTATGTAGTATGTTTTTTATTGGTTGATTTATTTTAATTAAATAATAAATGATGTTTTAATTCGGAAAACCTTAAATTTTTTAGGTTCTTAATTTTGTGTTTATCGAAAAAATCTTATATAATTGAACAAATGGAGTATTAAAATAGTTTTTCGAAAAATATAGGCCTTG